CTGAGGAACGGACCCGTGTGGACTCCCGGCCGGTCCCGGTCCAGAATAGCGCCCTCCCAACCCCCACCAACATTCCAGATCAACTGGCAGAATGTGCACCCCACTGAAGCCAGGACAAGGCTCCCAGGTGCCAAGCACACGCTCGGATTCAAATCTCTACGGTCTCGTACACCAGTCTAGCCTTTTGATGCACCACAGGGACAAATTGAGCACCTGGCCAATCACTCAGCAGCCGTCAACCTGCAGCCAGCCACTGCGCTACACTTCATACACACAGGCAGAGACACGCACAGACACGCACAAACACTCACACACTCGTCTTCCCCAGTCGTGAAGGCACACGCAGCACAGGAGGAGAGGAGATACTCACCATGCTTTCGCTTGACTCCGAAAAGCGACTAACTCTCCCACACACATGCAGTACACACAGATGGAGAGAAAGGAGAGAGAGAGAGGGGGGGGGGGGGGGGAGAATCGAGAACCAGAGAGGAAGAGAGAATGAGCAGAGGAACAGAGGAAGAGTGAGCAGGGAAGAGAGTGAGAAAGGGAGGAGGAAATGAATGAGCGAACAGCACCGGGGGCTAATGTTGGGCGTAGCAGCACAGAACGGCAGTAACTTACAGCGAAGTGTCTGCCTGGATTTGGGGGGGGGGGTACTCCATTCAGATACATCTCTATCTTGGTGCCCAGGTGCTCTGGCTTCAGTGAAGCGGATGCTCAGGAGGATGGAGAGAGAAACAGGTGCAGGGGCTCCCCCCTCCACCCCCCCTCCCCCCAAACCCCATGCAGGACTACATCGCTCCCATAACAAACGAGTTGGCCAACAAACCCACTGCCTACATAATTTTACACCAAAGTGATTTCTGATGGGGGGGGGGGGATTCCCAAATACAGTAATTATTTAATGCCGTTTATGCCTTCAGACATAGGATCAGATACAGAATTTAGACTATTACCTGCCTTTGGCTTGTCACAATCCTGTCCCGTGTGAACAAATGTGTGTGGGATTTAAGGGGACAGCACAGGACAGGGCAGGACAAGGCAGGATAAGGCAGGACAGGATAGGATAGGGTAAGGCAGGACAGGGCAGGACAGGATAAGGCAGGACAAGGCAGGACAGGGCAGGACAGGGCAGGACAAGATAAGGCAGGACAGGACAGGATAAGGCAGGACAAGATAGGATAAGGCAGGACAAGGCAGGACAGGATAAGGCAGGACAGGATAAGGCAGGACAGGGCAGGACAAGGCAGGTCAGGGCAGGACAGGGCAGGACAAGGCAGGTCAGGGCAGGACAGGGAAGGACAGGGCAGGACAAGGCAGGACAGGATAAGGCAGGACAAGGCAGGACAGGACAGGACAGGACAGGACAGGACAGAATGGAATAGAACAGTGCTGTATGCAGATTTTCCTTTCATCCACCCCATCTTACTTTCTATGACAGGATAAAATAGGAATAGGATTAGCAATAGAATTGGATTAGGAATAGAACAGGACAGGAATAGGATAGGAATAGAATAGAAATAGGAACAGAACAGAACGGAAAGGAACAGTGATACTTTATTGATCCCTGTAGGGAAATTCTCTCTTCACCCACCCCAGCTTGCTCTCCATGAGACACACAGACATGTATAGTTAAGAGCAAGCTTGGGAGCCACAATGCAGGGTCAGCCAGTGCTGCAGTGACCCCGGAGCCGGAGGTCAAGGGGCCTGCTCAGAGGCCCAATGGTGGCATCTGTCAGGATTCATACTGGTGATCTTCCAATCAGGGATACAGGCCCCCAAGAGCGGTACGCAACACACTTCCGTCCACCTTTTCCAAGGTAACGCCACCTCTTGCCCTCTGCTCTTCTCGACCTCGATCGCATCGAAGTGACTGGACTCCAAATCTCATAAATTCCATCCAGTCAGAGATGGGGGTTTATTTCCATGAGTGTCTCTTAGGGGCAAACTGACAGTATAGCCCAGTCAAGCCTGCCAAAATCCCATCATGACCTCGAAAGGCCGCTTCGCCCTGACTGAGACCTTGCCCTGTATGCTGCTTGCAGTTGATTTGTGGGACTTCATCCATAAACATCACTGCACGTGGAGAAGGTGAGGGAGGTCGCTGCCCTGTAACTGTAATTCATTCGCACCCGAGACACACCTAGCCTGCACTGCTCTTACTTAACTCCTCCTTACTATAGGTGGAGAGCAGAGCTGCTGTTGCAGAGCTGACAGCTCCAGATGCATGAGTCTGGTCTGACAACTCAAATAAAGCCCTTCCGGAGAATTCCAGGCGACATGCCGGCTGGCCCTTTCCCAGGACGTGCCCGTCTCCGTGACGGAGAACACACCCGGCCGCCATCTCCATGCCAGCGCATCGGCTGCCAGATTTTCAGTGCTTAGGTTAGCTGGATAACTTAAGCCAAGCATGAAAACTGTCCAATAGGAGGAGAGGTAAACAACCATCATATTGGACAATCCTTAGATTTGGCTTAAGATATCTGGCTAATGAAAAAAAATCTACTTTGTGGAATACCCCTGGTCTCATCTACAAGAAAAGCTATTTTTGCTTGTAAGGAAAAATTAAACTCCATCTTATTTTTTTTAAAGGTCATCAATGACTGTGTTCTACCTGAAGAATGACTTACATGCTAATTGCTCATGACCAGCATCTATCCATGGCTTCTGCAACATCAAGGTACCCTAACCTTTACCCATAACCCCAACAGCACCCCCGCCCTCAATCATGGAAATCCTGTCTTTATGCAATGAGCAGCAATATTTTCAGCACATCTCAGTTCTTCATTCAAGATGCACACACACACGCACGCACGCACACACACACACACACGCGCACACATGCATGCAGATTAGGTAGATAAATATCTTTGTGGGGACTCTCCATTTATCCATTATAGGCATAACTCTAATCCCAACTATGATGACCTTAACCCCTACCCAGCCCTAATCTTAACCATAAATAACCAAACAACTTTTGAATTTTTTAGTTTTTTGATTGGATTCGTAGATTTTTTATAAAATTCTGCTTCCCTTGTGGGAACTGAAAAATGCCCCCACAAAGTCAAAACAACAGGTTTTTATCGCACTGTGGGAACATTTGGTCCCCACAATGGAATATATACATGCCCACACACATTTTTCTTCCTGAACAAATTCACTAATCATCTGAGTCTCAGATTTTCCTTTGTGAGACTCAATTACGATTACAAACCAGACTAAGGAAGGCAGGCACCAGAAGGGAACCTCTTATCTTAGTTTGACACGGACGTGGGAACTCCACATCCTGGCCAGGGGAACTCAGGGGAACCCAGTCATCAGTGTAGGAAGATGCACAAATATGACAAATTTGCAGAAAAATCTTAAGAATCCATGAGGTTTACACTTCCATCCATTTATCCATCCATCCATGCATCCATGCATGGTTCACATACTGAGGTTATATTTACATTTAACTGAATTAATTTAAAAACTATGGTAGATTAAATGATTTTAAATCAATGCTTTTGAAGCAGTTGAAGACATTTCTTGTGAAGAAAACAGATGACTGTGATCGGCTTCATAATGAGGAACATCGGCAGAGTGGATTCCGTTTTCTGTCGTACATTAGCTGTTGAACTGCATCCCCCAGCCCCTCTGACAAAGCCAAGCCTGCCATTTACACAGCAAATCTGTAATGTTACATTACCTGCAATGTCAATATCACCACCGCATAGATTATTCTAGAGGGCCGAGTCCTTTGTATGACCTGACACACACACACACACACACACACACACACACACACACACACACACACACA